GAGAAACTTTCAACTGTCAGAATGAATGAGAAAATCCTTTCATAGAGTCAAACTCTACAGCACGGAGCATAGGTCAAACAGCACAATGTAGGAACAATAGAGAAACACTAATTTCCTGACTCAACAGGGACCTTAAATAATGATATGTTGACTATGAAAGGATGAACTGCGTACAATAAATCAGATAATTCCCAAGTATTTTGAGAAAGTTTGGCATTATAACTGATTCAGAATATTTTTTTTTTCCTGGTCACATTGGCACTATAAAATGGGCCTGTCCCATTACAATTGATAATATACATCTGGCGCTGTTTTAAATGTGTATTTTGAAACAAGAAAGAGGGTTATACATAGCCAGTACAGTAGGTGGTGGTATGACCCTTGTAATATTGTACGTAGTAAGGATGCCACTAAACACAGTGCACCGAGCTTGCAACAGAGAGCGATTTCTCTCACAAAAACACGAGGAGTCCTGCACTTAGGGGCTAAATGACTTTTCTCAAACTCAATCAATAAGAAAGAAAGATGTATGACTTATGATTACTGAAGAATGAAAGAATATGTTGTTTATCATTTGCTTGACTATTCATATTACATTATATTTCTACATTTCCATAAAAAATATCCAAACAGATCAATATGATCAATAAAGTTCCTTTTTATCATTTTCGATGGCAGCAGCCACACTCAGGTTGCCTGTGGTAGCTGAGCCAGGGAGTACAGAGAGTCATTTTCGATGCTTTCAGACTGATGTGGTTCAGATTGATCAGTGGCTTCAGTTTGCTCTTTGGGTGGTTGAACAACAGAATACATCAAGTCACACTGGTGATATGTGCTCTCTGCACTCGCCTCCCCTGAACTGACCCCAGAGCTGGAAGCATCTTTTGAATATTTCACATATTGGTGGTGGGAATAATTAGCATAGAGACTGTCTGGGTCTGCAGAGAAGTGGAGGGTAGCGACCCCTGCAGGTTGGCTCACAGGCTCACAGTCTTCAGGTCGGATTTCGTCATATTCAACTTCCTTGAAAAAGAAATAGTGAGAAAAGGCAGCTGTAAGAAACACTGAAAATACTGAGTTAAACCAAATAGAAACAAGTTACGAGCACATAAAACAGATACAGTCTGAAACCTCAGTCAAACATTATTAACAGCTCTTCAGTGTCTGAGCTGATAACTTCTGATGTGTCTGAATGTAGCTGTGGGTAATTCAGAAGACAGTTGTGTGGGTTATCAAGGTGGACACAGTCTTGTTGAGGTCAATAGAGGGATCCAGCTGTGGGTCAATGAAAGACAATATTCTATATTGTACAGTTTGTCACCACCTTAAAATGGCAGTCAGAGTGTACCAGTGGCAAACTCAGGCTTTCACATTTGACTGCACACATGATCCTGCTGGAATAATCAAATTATAAACTGCATTATTAGCTGAAAGGATGGAAATGCACCACCACTATTCCACGTCCTTACTGTGTGACTTTGATATTGAACATGCAGAATTCATTTGCTCTCACTTAATTTGGACTACAGTAGCCTGGAGTCAGATCAAAGATACAGTCACACTGCCTCTCTGACCTGCTCAAAGTGAGGAGTAATGGCTGCTGGGGTTGGATCAATGACAGTTAATATAATGGACAAAGCTTCTGGGTCTGTGAAATGGCATGTGCATCAATGAGCCATGACCCTGTCTCCGGTTCAACATTTTTGATGATTTTTTTCACATTTTTCCTGCTTCTAACACATCAACTCTGAGTACAAAATGTTCACTTGCTGCCTGATATACCCCCCCACTGACAGGAGCCCTGATAACAACATAACCAGTGTTATTCACTGTCAGTGCTCACAGTGTTATGGCTGATGGGTGTATTTTAGTGTTTATCTGGAATATGAGATTGTGTGTGACCAGGTGAGCCGCCATTGTTTCCTGCTACAGAAAACTGTGCAGCCAATGAGAGCAGCTGAACTCGCAGTACGTCACCTCTGCTGGCCCTGACAAACTGTCATGGCGACGACCGTAACGCCAAACCAATTGGTTGTTTTGTTGTGTTTTCACTTTGGACCGATATGTTGGATCGTTGAACACTATACTGATGCACTGTTACATCCATAATGGGTATGGTGTTATGTTGACCATGCACGCCATCTTCATCCTCACAACACCAACTTTGTAGTCGTACAACCATCCCGATGACATGGGAATCTTTCCCATCACTACCATCCATCCCACGCAGTTTGACGTGAATGCAGCAAGCATAACCATGCATTTATGTTGATTTCAAACTTTATGGATCTACCACCTAGCGTGGCACCAGTAAAGGCTGAATTCTTCTTCTGTGCTGCAGTACCAACATGCAGATGCTCTCTTGTGTTCTGAGAAAGCCACATCCACTACAAACCATCAGTGTGACTATGTGTCACAAGGTCACACTATGAGTATGATTTTGGGTATACAGTATAATAAATGCATGACCCATCCATCCAGTGTAGTGGCACTGTTACAGCTGTCGCCATAGTGAATCTTACTACAGTGTAATTGTGCAACACCTAGAATTCAGCCTCAAAACCAGTAGGAGGAAAGAAAGACAATAATAATATATATAATAATAAATAATAAGCAGTAATGTATACAGACTATAGTTGAATTATATTTAAAGTTAGTTTTTTTTCCAAGTTCAATAAATGCATGATAAAGGCAGTGAGTAATCATGTTAAAGCTGCAGTAGGTAACTTTTATAAAATTAACTTTTTGAAACCTTCACTATATTCTGACAGTAGTACATGAGACAGATAATCTGTGAAACAATCATTCCCAGGTTGTCAAATATCGATGCTGGGAATGAGACTCGACAATCAACTATCTCCATGCCTCCAACCCAAAGTGTCTTTATATCTTTCTTTGCTCTGATTGTTTGTTTTTTTCGTTAGGCCTGGTGGATTAATGCAAATGCCATTAGAAGCACTAGGAGGATCCAGAGGAACTTGATTTGTTCACAGATTATCGGTCTCATGTTCTACTGTCAGGATATAGGGAAAGTTTGACAATCAACAATTCACATGTCAACTGCAAACTTTAAAGTCTAAAGATAAAACATCATGTTCTGCTCAGATTTCTCTTCCAGTTTTTAAGCCTATGTTATTATGAATAGCTCATATTGCATATGTGCAGTAATCGTCAATCTCACTTGCATCACATGCACTCTTATCTATTGTGTTTTCTCATGTTTGGTGTGCTTGTGAGTGCATTTCTATTGAAGTCTCTACTCAACATGTTAATAACTTGCAATTGATTCCTCTGCTGCTGTTAGGACAAGCGTCTGGGGATCATTCAAATTTCCCAAAATCTAGCTCATATGTGATCAGAGAAGTGATTTTTTTTTCTAGCTGCTACCAAAAACATTTTCCTATCCACTGTTACAGATTCAAGGCAGATCGATTTGCCCACACCGACACAGGAGGTTTGTGCTCAGGATCAGAAGATACAGAAGGAAAGTATTCCCAGTGAGGGTGATGAGGAGTCGGTCATCCTGCCCGGTAAAGAGAAGCTGACTGAACCCTGGACCAGGTCTGTGGAGACACCAGTAGGTCCGGAATACAGCAGCATTACAGACACACTAACTCAGACTATCACAGTTGGAGAACATGAAGAAAATGAGATGCCAGACGACCTAACTCAAATTGTGAAAGTTGAAGAGCACAGCGACTACGAAGCACCAGACAGCCTAACTCGAGTCGTAACAGTCGGAGAGCAACTACAATATGAGACACCATCACAACATGAGCAACCGTTACCATCCTTTGGACTATCTCCAGTATATACAAAGAAGAAAAACATGTTTTTTTGTAATATTTGCTGCCAGCCTTTTCTTAAAAAAGTCGAGTTGAAATCGCACCTTGCTGCTCATGCAACACAAAGTTCACCAAAGTCCGGCAACAAAGCATTCACCTGCTTCGTATGCGGTAGAAGAACAGGCACCCGGAGTCAAATGATCTGCCACATGAGAACGCACACCGGCGAGAAACCATTTGGCTGTCCCATTTGTGGCAACCGATACAAACTGAAAGGTCACATTAAAGAACACATGAGGACTCACACCGGGGAGAGGCCTTACACCTGCTACATCTGCGGCCGAAGCTTCAACAGATCTTCGACCATGAGCAAACACGCCAGGATCAAACACAGGGAGTACATGCCATTCAAGTGCATGCAGTGCAGCCAGCGCTACCCTCTGCTCGTCGTGTTAAAGCGACACATGAAGACGGCCCACGATGTCATATCCTCTGTATGAGATAATGTTGATGTAGCAACTCTGACTGCTATTAAAGGCATACTATGCAGGATTTTTCTGTTGCACCATTCAAAGTTGGCTCCTCCTCCCCGGCTCGATGGAGCACCTTTGGTTGAGCTACACAGGGCATGAATGAGGAGAGGGAGCAACCTTAGTGAGAACAAAGCAGTGAATCAGAGAAGTAAAAGGTCATTTTCTGATGGTTAAAGCGTAAAATAAACACCACACAGATGCTATATTTCTGAACACTGATCTGCATCTTGTTAAAGTCCAGGTGAAATGAAACATTTTAACCCTTTAAGATCGCCATACTGTACTACTACATACTGAGTGCCCAAAGGCTGACGCCCAGAAATGTCCCAAACACAGCAAAATAAGAAAATACAGGTGGAGGGCTGCAGGGTCTCTGCACATACAGAAACCCAACACACTTCTAGTGGGTATGAGCCACACAGCGATGCACTGTTTTTTGGGGAAATCCTGCATAGTATGCCGTTAAAGTTCAGAGTTTACACTGGCTCTTACTCACAGAACTTGTCTGTCAAACACTGGGGTGAGTGTTTTCTTTGTAGGTTTATCTTTTATGATTGTATGTTTGTTGAAGTTGCAGTTGACATTCTTTACTAAACTAGCACTTATGATCCACTGCACTAATACATGCACTTATCATACTGTTCAGATGCTCCTGTCGAGTCGTTGTGATTGCAATCTGCTTCAAGTCTAACATGTTACATGCTCAGTAGAACTATACACAACACTTATGTACCAAACACCTAGTTAAACATCTGCTGGGAATTAACATGTGTATAAAGCTACACATGTTAATGTGTACTAGGGCCTTCTTGATTATACAAAACTAGTTTTGTTTTTTCAACTTTGTGACTGACAGTTCCTATGTGACCTTGTTCTTATTTGCTAGGTGCAATGTTCTGTATTGCCTGTGATGTACTGTTCTGAAAGGTACAATGCCAATAAAGTGACAGTACATGTAAACACTGCCGCAGTTTTTTTATTGTGTGTAAGTGAGCAATATGTGTGGAAATCAGAATTTCAAAAGGAGAAATGAAGAGCCATGATGACTCTGGATTTTTGAGGCGGACACCAGTATACTTTAACCATATACTGGCAGATGTTCACTTTCTGACATAAACACACATTTTTGATAAAAATCCCTTAAATTGAGTTATTAATGTGCAAATTAACAGCAGCTGAAAATCTTGCTGACCTCCAGTAGTTTCTCACCTGGCTGCAGTGATGTAGAAGTGTAAGGGGTGCACTCAGGGAGTGTAGCAACAGACTTAAAGCACATTAAGTGACTCCACAGAGGAATACATGGAGCCCTTTGTACATTATAGTCCTTCCAGGTGTTGAGGAGTAGTACTGCATATTTGTAAAAAATCACATAAAGCCTTCAGTGGTTCCAGAGGGAGCTGTACGAAATCAGATAAACTGCCTCAAGTGATGTCACTTGAGTCGGTGGGGCTGAAAACTGAAGCCTGAAAATGAAAACAATCTGTTGGTGTGGAGTTAATAAGTGAGATTACCAGACCTCTTCAGCTGCTTCTCATCTCTGTTTGAGGCTAGTGGCTTGAGGCTACATTAGCTGCTACTAGCATAACACACCCTAATCTTCGACCCAATCATTGAGCGGTCGAGTTGCACTGTGGGTAATGTAGGCACCAGGTTTTTACAAGTAGGAAGGAATGCATTGAAACAAAATAAACATGTTTCTGCTGCATTGATTTTAGTCGCCAAATGCTAAATTGGTGAAGTACTCTTTCATACAGTATGACTGTATACAAAGTGGAAAGAGTGGTTAGAACAGATGCAGGTTGGTCCTAGGCGGCTTGAATATAGCTGAAGATGCATTCACGTGATTGAAAATGCTTAGCGGTTTGGAGAGAATAAATGCTGACTCCAAAACCCTCCAGCAACCCAATTTAAGTCAATTTGAGCAAATGACGTGTGGCGAAAATGTACATTCAATCTTTCCAGTAAATACTATCTTGATTTTTGTTATGTTTTGGTGTAATTCATCAATAACATTCACAAAACAATTATTGCTTGATCTTCTGAGATCTGTAGAACAGTATTCCACTCTTGACTGGTTTGTCCCTTCTTGAAGTTGATGTGGCTCTGAGACGGCTGATCAAAACTATCTAAAGGTAAAACTCCTGATGGGTGTGGATTGATGGGAGCAATATTTTGGCGCTGACGACTTTGATGTGCAATGCATTTCTGTTTCTGTTCTTGCAGATTCCAAACAACCAACCGCACCCACATCTGTGGAGGAGATTCCCCCTAAACAGCAGGCCTGGAGCCCGGGTGTGTGCCAGGACGAGCCAGGACCCTCCCAGTTCAAAGAGGAGCTCGAGGAGCAGAAGGAAGTACTGTGGATCAACGGGAGTGAGGAGCAACCTTCGGCCGAGGACAGCGATGATGGGGATGCCTTGACGAAGGAGCTCATCAAAACAGTGCAGCAGTTGGAGGACTGTAGAGCAGCAGAGGAGGGCAGGGAGCCAAAGGAAACCCCTGTGGAGGATCCAGAGCACTCTGAAGAGCAGACGAGTACCACCTTATACCGCTGCCACATATGCAACTACATATTCACCAAAAAAACTGTGCTCACGTGGCACCTCAAGACGCACGAAAGCAAGTCGCACAACAGCAAGGGAAACTTCGACTGTCACGTGTGTGGCAAACACATACCCTGTCAGAGCAACCTGCAGAACCACATGAGGGTGCACACAGGAGAGAGACCCTACAGCTGTCATTTCTGTGGAAAGTGCTTTAAACTGAAAGGGCACATGACGGAACACATAAGAACCCACACGGGAGAGAAGCCTTTCAGCTGTCACATCTGTGACAAATCCTTCAACAGGGGATCAACTCTGAGGAAACACGTTTTAGCCAAACATAAAGAGGAGAGGCCGTACAAATGTGAGGATTGCGACGAGTTGTTCACTGAACGGCTGCTAATGAAAAGGCACATGCGGAAAGTTCACGGCATCAAACTGTCCACGAATCAAAGTCCCGCCTAGAACTTCAGAACAGACGGTGTTGATGGTGCATGTCGCACATGGTCTAAAATCTGAGTAGAAAATAAGTCTAGGGATCTTGAAATATTTTAATACTAGCACCACTGAGTTTTAAGATAAATACCAGAACGATCCTTTTTCAAAATGTTGCTTTGATGATTTTAATTTTACTACAGAATCCTTTTTTCACATAAAACGTAAATATCTCTTGAATGTTTTCTGACATAAAACAGCCATACAAGAACTTTGCTTAAAAGGTCTAGTGTGTAAGATTTAGAGGGATCTATTGGCAGAAATTAAATATAATATTGA